AGAAGTCGTAGGGCACCTGGGTGGCTCAGTGGGTTAAGCATCTGCCTTCGGCTCAGGTCATGATCCCAGGGTCCTGGGATTGAGCCCCGCATCAGTCTCTCTGCTCAGTGGGAAGCCTGCTTCTCCCTCTACCACTCCCTCTGCTTGTCTTCCCTCTCTTGCGGTGTCTGTCTCTGTCAAATAAATAAATAAATAAAAATTAAAAACAAAAAAAGTCGTCATGGGGCATCTGGGTGGCTCAGTCGGTTGAGCACCTGACTCTTGGTTTCAGCTCAGGTCATGATCTCAGGGTCATGAGATAGAGCTCCGTATCGGGATCCACGCTCAGCGAGGTGTCTGAGTGAGGTTCTCTCTCCCTCCCTCTTCCCCTGTTCACACTCACACGATCTCTCTAAAATAAATAAATAAATCTTTACAAAAAATCAGTGAGAAGTCATGGTGAATACGGTGCAGGGTTGTTCAAACTGGGTTGCCCTAAAATGGTATTTGATTTTTTAAGCCTCGCAACCTCCCTGACACCCTGGTCTGTCTGCACCCCTCCCGGTGAGCACGTGGAACACTGCGATGATTCACCTGTGTCTCCCACCTGAGTCTGCTGGTGCAAGGGCCACGTTTTACTGATTTCTGAAGCCGTGCAGGCATGGTGGTTAACCGTGACCCCTAGAGCCGTGCTCTTGGGTCTGTATCCCAGCACGCCTACTTGTGGATAGTGTGGCCTTGATTAGTTCCTTAACCTTCCTGGGCCTCGGTGTGCTCATCTGGAAAACAGGGATAGTAACAGTCTCTCCCGCACTGAGTTGCTCTGGGGATAGAGACAATCCTCACGACGCACCTAGCACAATGCCGAACAACTGAAGCTCAATAAAAACTACTCTAAGTTATACATTAACGGCCAACACAGTACTTGGTCCATCAGGAAGAGAGTGTACAATGAGAACATGCTTTCTTTCTCATCCCCCACTCACTCCGGCAGCGCTCCATTATTCTGTAATTGCAAATGTGATTCTGTACTTGCAAATGCCAAGTGTGCATTCTCTGGGTACATATTTTCTCTTCAGCTAGACAGTAAACTCCTCGAGGTCGAAGGCAGCACTGACTACTCTGGTCCTCCTCCCCAGGGTGGCTGTCCAGACACGTGGGCTACATCTGCAGACTAGCCTTTACCACGCTGCGTGGCCGTGGATTCCACCTAACTAGCTGCCACATTTCCCCCGGGGTAGAATTGTTCTATTTCATCCATCCACGGCAATCCAGGCACTTTACGCTGTTCTCAGAGAAGGTCCGAGCTTCCCCAGACCCCTCAGCTGATCTTTAAGATGGTCTGTTCTTCTCTTTTTTTTTTTTTTTGAGAGATTTTATTTTAAAGTAATCTCTACATAAAACATGGGACTCCAACTCACATCCTGGATATCAAGAATCACCCACTCTACCAACTGGGCCCATCAGGTGCCCTAGTCTGCTCTTCCTATTAACTCAGAATAGGAACATTTTTGGCAGGGGATGGCTCAGTTGGCGAAGCACTGGACTCTTGGTTTCGGCTCAGGTCATGATCTCAGGGTCGTGAGACTGAGCCGCGCATTGGGCTCTGGGCTCAGCGTGGAGTCTGCTTGAGATTCTCTCTCTCCCTCTGCCCCTTCCCCTGCTCACTCTCTCAAAAAAATAAATCTTAAAAAAAAAAAAGAAAGAAAGAAAGAAATACTTCGGGCAGTATCTGTCTGAAAGGGAAGTGCTGCCTCACCGGGACAGGGGAATGGCCACATGGGCCTTAAGGATCTCACCGCGCTGCCACCCAGCTGTAACCAAGCGGACTTTGACTGTTGGGAATCTTCCACTAATCCAAATGTTCCAAAGAGGAAAGTGGTTTATAAACCAAATTGATCTGATACATTTGGTCAAAACCAGCCTTCCAGGGAACTTTGGGGGTGGAGCGGGGGACTGGACTAAACCCTCCATAAATGTCACTTCTGTGAATCTAAATTCAGCTTCTTCCATCCTTGTCACTTGAGTCCTGACCTACTACAATCAGACAGCACGACGACCCAAAAGAATAGCAAGATCTTCCATCATCTAAGATTTAAGGTCATTAAAAGGCGGTACAGGTACAGCATGGCACACAATGCATGGACTTACAGTCAGACTACTGGGGCTCGAAGCCCAGATTTGCTGAACACCAACTGTGAGACCCTGACAAAGTCCCCAACATGAGCTACGTGTCTGTAAAAGAGGGATGACAACAGCACCTGCCTTAAACAGCTGTTGTTTCATAGGAGTTGATACTTGTAATTGTGCTTGGCGTACATTAAATTCTCCGCAAATAGGAGCTAATATTATTTTCACGTCATCATGCACAGTCCAACCGGAGTTACTATTTAGAACAATTTCTCAAATCCAGCTCTTCCCTGCATTGTCTGCCCGCCCGTCCACTGGCTCAAGTCAGAATGCAGCATCCATCTCGACCCCCTCTCTCCCTTTTTCTTCGTTTCTCACATTCGGATGGTTTCCAGGAGCCAGGTTCTTCAACTTCCACGATCCTACCTCTCAAATATCTTACACTTGTCCACCTCTCTGTTGCCTCTGCTCCTACTCTGGGCCAGTGGTTGCTGTCCTGCCAGGGCCGGTGACCTCCCTGGCTCCTCTTCTGACCCTCTTCAATCCATCCTTCAAGCAGCTCTAACAGCTTCCTAAACCATGGATGTGATTAAATCACGCCACCATGTGACAATTTTTCTTGGCTTATTACATACTGTAAAATAAAGTCCAGCTTCTCGAGCCTGGACTTTAAGGCTCCTTACTCCCTGGTCCCAGCGAGCTCTTCCTGCTTCCTCCCCCTCAGCTACACCCGAGTCACATCCTGCAACTGCCTTTCCCATGGACACTGTTTCTTTGGCTGCCCTGTTCCCTCTGTTTCCCATCCAGCTTTGAAGTACCTTGTGAGACTTCGCTAAACATAAGTCAGAAGTTGGTGCCTGCTAGTCAGTGAGTTGAAGAAAGCAGACTCATGTATTTGAAAATGATTTAAAAATAATTATAAAATAGTGTTTAAAAAAATTTTACTTTGGTAAACCAGAAAACCTGGTTTGTCAGCCATTCCCTAAGGCTTACTTTATATTTGTGTTTAATATAAATTAGAAATTAATAGATATTTTTCTCATTTAATCTTTGTATCAAATCTGGTTTGACATTATTACATTATTACATCCGTTGTAGAGATGAGGAAACGTGTGTCAAGTAATTTGTCCAAGGACACAAAGACAGTAAATGACAGAGCTCGGACATGAACACAGCCGGTGGCCCGCTGGAGCAGAACGTACGCTGACGCTGGTCTGTGTGAGTCCGAAGCCCCCGGATGGGACACAGGTAACCCCTGTGCTTCGCTCCCTCACTGTTCACCGGGCACGTTTAAAATAGAACGTTGGGGACGCCTGGATGGCTCAGTGGGTTAAGCTTCTGCCTTCAGCTCAGGTCATGATCTCAGGGTCCTGGGATTGAGCCCTACATCGGGCTCTCTGCTCAGCAGGGAGCCTGCTTCCTCCTCTCTCTATGGCTGCCTCTCTGCCTGCTTGTGATCTCTGTCAAATAAATGAATAAAATCTTAGAAAAAAAAAAAAAATAGAACGTTGGCTCTGACCTGAGTTTGGTGTAGGCACACTGCCGTCCTAACTTACGCACTGGTTTAACATTTCTGTTCTGCTCCTGGGTCTGAATGTCGGCGCCTAGACGAACGAGGTTAAAGAGGTTTCAGTATACCACCTAGTGTGGCATAAAATGCCATTACGTTTTCTGATGAAGAAGCTGTTCAACCCAGGGGCTTCCGGCTGATCTCAGCCTCTCGTTCTCTCATTATGCACCACCAACAAGCATCAGCTGACTGCCCACCATGTGCGTGACACTGTGCTAAACTTATTTCCTCATCTTCTTCCAAGAACCTCTTTACTCAATCTCATGAAAGCATTTTGGCAAATTGGAGTGCTTCTGAACCACAGGTTGAAAATTTGTTTTAGGATAAATGAACTGATGGTTTTCATGGGTACATTCTCTCCAGAGACATCTCGGCCCCTGGTCCCTATGATTGAGTTTGGCCTTTCTTAGCTACTCAAGAAGAGGTCTGCTAATGCCTATAACACACAACACACACACACACAGACACACACTTTTAATTCCAACTTTTAAGAGTCATTAAAATAAATACCCAGCCTGGATCGCTGGCATTTTCCCGGCACAAGTGGTAACTATGAACACAGGAAGGGCTAATCTGTGATCCAGACTGGTAAGGCATGACCATTATGGTCATGGATGGAACTGTGGCTCTTTGCCCAAATCCATCTGTTGAAGTCCTAACCCCCAGTACTTCAGTATGTGACTGTATTTAGAAATAAGGCCTTTAATGAAGTAATTACGTTAAAATGAGTTAGTAAGCTTGGGCCCTGATCCAGTACGACTGGTGTCCTTGTAAGAAGAGATGAGGACACAGAAAGAGAGAGACACGAGAAATGTGCACAGAGAGACACGAGCACGTGGGCAGGCAGGGAGAAGGTGGCCACCCGCAAGCCGTGGAGAGAGGCCTCAGAGAAAAAACAAACCTGCCAACACCTTGATCTTGGACTTCTAACCTTGAGAACTGTGAGAAAATACATTTCTGTTGGTTCGTGGTATTTTGTTAAGGCAGCCCTAGCAACTCCAAGCATCAAAACTGATGTTTGAGGGCTGCTTTGTTCAACCAATAATTTTTTAACTTCTCCTATGTATTAGTCTCCCCCAACTTGATGTTAGGAAACTATACAGAGGCTTCAAGGCTAGGTCAAGGCTTCAAATTAGTAGTGCAAAATGAGAATGGCGGACACATTTCTTTCTCTGAAAATGTGTCCTTGGAAAAAACCCCAGGCATGTGAACTTTTGAGGAGAAATCTCACTGTTCCTTCTTCCCAGGAGCCCATACAATTCAAGATATAAATGTTACCTTTTTCTGTACAGACACCTTCCAGCCAATAAAATGATCTTACCCAATCCTTCCAGTTCTTGAACTACCTCTTTCCAAACAGGCTCGATGTGGATACAGCTGAAGCACCAGTCTGAGGTGATTTTGATGAGGTAAGGTTTCCTGAAGCTGTCTGGAACCACATCATTCACGTAATGTGAGAAGTGCAACAAATACTTCTCGTCGATGGAGTCCCGCCGCTCAGAATTAAAAGGGAAATGAAAAAAGGATTCATCGAAGTAAAAATTCTCATGGAAATGGCGGAAGCGATACTCTCGCTGCTGCTGCTGCTGCTTCTGGTAGCCCTGGTTCTCTCCGGCATCTCCATAGTGATCATAGTTGGATCTCTTTTCTTCATTGGAAAGAATCTATAAGGAAAGCAAAAAAAAAAAAAAAAAAAAATAGGAAATCTATGAAATGGAAAAATTTTCACCCAAAGGACTATCCTGTGAGCAGCACGGAAGACACGGGAAGAAAAGAAGCGTAAAGCTATAGCACGGTTAGACATTCCGAGAGCAGTCGCCAACATACCAGGAAACTTTTCTCTCAATAGAAACATCCAGTATTTCAAGACCCAAAGACTTCAGTCCTTGTGTTCGTCTTGCCTTTAGAGATTTTGTGTTATCAAAGTATCGACACATCAGTAAAGCAAATGAAACTTAACATAATGTTGACCATAAAAAAACGGACTAGGTCATGCCACTTAAGTTGGAGTAACTCCAACCAGGACAGGACAAGCTGTGAACACCAAAACGTTGCCACAGCACCGAGTGCAGGGTCTTGCACGTGACCTTTGTTTTAACTTAGAAACGACTCCGAAGTCTAAAATTCGAGAAGCTGTTTCAGGATGAGGTTCTATTCTACAAGCCAAGCGCTGTATCTCGAAGAGCATCACCCGACACAAATCAAGGGAGCCGCGGACTTCTCTTTTGTGCACATTCCAGACCAAGCTACTTAAGCTGCTGTGTTGGAAAATTGTTGAAAATCTTGTGTTTCCACGTACTTGGAAGCTTGTGCCACTTTAATAAATACGGGCCCATCAGTCTTTCTTTAATATAAGCTCTAGTACATATGCTGCTGAGATGAGCACGTGATAAAAAAGTTTCGGGGCGCCTGGGTGGCTCAGTGGGTTAAAGCCTCTGCCTTTGGCTCAGGTCATGATCCCAGGGTCCTGGGATCCAGCCCCACATCGGGCTCTCTGCTCAGCAGGGAGCCGGCTTCCCTTCCTCTCTCTCTGCCTGCCTCTCTGCCGACTTGTGATCTCTGTCAAATAAATAAAATCTTAAAAAAAAAAAAGTTTCGACAAAGGAAGTAGAGACCTACGTTGAGGAATTCTGAGAATTTTACAATTCCAATTAAAGCCTTTAAAATAGGCCACTTTTTTTTTTTTTTTAAAGAGCTGAAGAAGTATTCAGGCACCGATTTCAACATATTGGATGTGGCTAAATAGGCTTTCTTTCTTTCTTTTTTTTTTTTTTAGATTTTTATTTATTTATTTGACAGACAGAGATCACACGTAGGCAGAGAGGCAGGAAGAGAGAGAGAGGGGGAAGCAGGCTCCCCGCTGAGCAGAGAGCCCGATGTGGAACTCGATCCCAGGACCCTGAGATCATGACCTGAGCCGAAGGCAGAGGCTTAACCCCCTGAGCCACCCAGGCGCCCCTAAATAGGCTTTCTTTTTTTTTTAAAGATTTTTTTTTATTTATTTATTTGACAGAGAGAGATCACAAGTAGCCGCAGAGAGAGAGAGAGAGAGAGAGAGAGAAAGAGGAGGAAGCAGGCTCCCCGCAGAGCAGAGAGCCCGACGCGGGACTCGATCCCAGGACCCTGAGATCACGACCTGAGCCGAAGGCAGCGGCTTAGCCCACTGAGCCACCCAGGCGCCCCCTAAATAGGCTTTCTTTACCATCATCTAGAAACTAGGTCAAGGACACTGGGGGTGTGTGCCCTCTCGAAGAGGTCATTACAAAACTGGCCAGTTAAAGAGTATTTAATCAAAGCTAATGGATGCATCACAAGTTTGACACAGTACCTCATAAGCCTTGCTAATTTGGATGAACTTGTCTTCTGCTCCAGGATTTTTGTTTTTGTCAGGATGCCTGAAACAAAAACGGGCAGGCAGTGAGCGTGGATTCAACGTTTTACACACAATTAACATCCTGTACACACAGTTCACTACATCAGAGGCGAATGCAAGGCCATTTTGTTAGACGGTTTCTTAAAAATAAATGGTAGAAGCAATCAGTTGCTTCCCATGACCATCATAATTAAGTGAAACTTTGGAACCGGCTGTTTCTACCCAAAACGCTTCAGCGGGGCACAATTTCAAAGCACCAGGGAGTTCGGCAGCGTCCCACAGAGGAAAGGTGTGCTGTGGGCATGTCTTTACCTGGTTCCTACACACTGCTGAAGCTGGCTCCAGGCTAATGTCACTGAGCCCTAAGAGCTGACTTCTCTTCCTAGGATGGGGGCAGTTCATTCCAACGTTAGAATGTCATCTAGGAAGGGATTTCTTCTGACCAGTCAGGGAGACATAGGAAACAGCTTTTCTGACACACCGTGAACTCATTTAGTGACAACCATGTTCCCAATAGCATTTGGCTCCTGATGTTCAAATGAGAGTGTTTCAGTTTCGTTATTGCCCTGCTTGTCCCTTTTTGCCTAAGGTGGCCTTTTGCCTATAAATGGATAATGATTTCCAGGCCCCATGTTTTAAGAGGTGAGAAAAATCTGCAGTTTATGCAAAGTGATTTAAATTTCTGTTAGAAATAATGTTTGCTATTTTCCATAGCCGGCAATCAACTGTATCCATTTGCGGTCATTGATTATTCTGTTATTCTGTAATATACCCGTGTTTATGCCAATTTCAGTTTTAGAGATTTTTAAAGTCCTGAAACTAGGGGCTAGGTTTTACTTCCTTAGGATCCCCCAAGACCTAAGTCAGAGTTTTATACCAACTGATTTTTCAATGTTCTTTTTGTTAAGAGACTTTAATACAGAGTGTATTCTTTATGTAATCACTTTGGCTAACTTTTAGTAAATTTCCTCTAGCAAAGGTTCAGGAAAGAGAAACCATCCACCGGGAAGCAAATGACTACTAAAAACAGCACCAAGTACATTGGAATAAAGAAAACTTATAACTTGATCAACTTATTCTGGCAGGAACATGTTTGAATGAATTAAACCACATATTCTGATTTCTCTAAAAATAAACTGCAAATGGCTGACTGTTGAATTTAGACATCATTCCTCCCTTAACTATCTAGTTTGTATTATGGGTATTAGTGGGAAAAAAATGTCAGCTGGGTATAATGAAAATAGTATGACAAGGAAACAAGATGGTGGTTCCAAAGCATGTTTCTGGATGATAAAAAAAAAAAAAATGCTTTAAATATTCAGACTTAAGCTGAAGGCTGAAAAGAGAAAAATGATACAATCACACAAACGAAGATTGAACACATAGAATGTGGTAGGGGAAGAAGGATTGGAAGGGGCTTTTGAGGAGACTGAACCAAGGAAAGGGCTGTGAGGGCGGCTGGGTTAGAATCACAGATCCTGACGCAGACAAAACCAAGGCCAGAGAACAGGGAGGAAACCACAAGACAGTTTCAGGTTATAAGGAATATTTTCCTAATTGCAGGACACTACCACAAGGTGGCAAACATGTAGGGAAGGATAAATCCGGCTCTAGGAAAGAACTGCCCAATACTATTTTCAGTATGTAGGAAACATGTCACCAACCGCAATATGATACCCGTTCCTTAAACCTGGGAGTGAAGAAAATACTGTACTTGGTATCTACTGACTGTAGAAAAAGTAATACAGAAAAGTCGTAGACAAATCGTTTTACCGTTCCAGTGACTGACCGTGTTAATACTCATTTGCTTCCGATCAAACTTTAGGAAGCCTTTTTCCTGGGGTGTCAGGGTGTTTATCGGGCCAGTGTAGATGACAAAAGGGAAAGCACCTATGTGAAAACTTAATTATTAGGAGAGAAACATAGTTTTTCTGAGATGAAAAAGTGACTTGAAATGATTTCACCAAGGAAAGGGAAATGGCTCATTTCAGTGCCCATGAAGCCATCATGAAATGAAACCAAAGGTTATAGGGATAAAACAGTGCCGTTGCCAAAACAGCAACAAGGAGTAACACAGTGAAAATACAAAGGTGAAGTAAAATGCTAGACTTTCCCTGGATGATACTCCCTATACTTCTGAGGTGATGAATGACTCCTAGAGAGAATGTAATTAAGGAAGAGAAGCATATGACTCCTTTAATTAATAGCATAACACCCTTTTCAGCTCTGGAAGACAGAAAAGTCAAAGTTGTACATTTTAATAAATCCCACATACTCAAGCGATCATTTCTGCTTTTAAAATGTTGCCAAAGGCCCATACTCTGTCCAAAAGAATGTGGCTACCTTTCAAATTTATTGCAGATTTAGGTATTTTGCTTTAAATATAAAGAGGCGAGAGTCTGAAACAATGTGGAAAGCAATTTTGTTGTAAAGAGAGTCCCTGGAAAGAGGCCACACATAATCAGACTGTGTTTTTAGTACTGAATTCTGGATTCTCTGTGATTGGAGTTTGGTTTAAAATATTTATGTATTCAAAACACTGTATTTTAAACTACATTTTACCTTTATCGCAACCCGTTTAAAACTAGGCTCCTTCTTTCACTGAAGAATCATGGTGTCAGGCAGAGGCACACACAGAATGCAATGTCATCTGCACGTGGCAGCTTTGCTCCTACATAACTTCCTGCCCGCCCCAACACTAACCCACTCACTCTTCCGTCTACTCAGATGGGTAAGGGATTAAAAAGTAAAAAAAGCAATCAACTACCTATTGGCGCAGGTCAAGCTATGGGGCCCAGAGGTAATAAAGACTTTGAAATGGTGAGCCCAGATTTACCCCCAGGTAAGAGGGACAGCATACCTCTCTCATAGCGTAATTATAAGGTATAAATTAGATAAATAATATAGAACTGGGAGCCTAGCATGCAGTAGGTATGTGATGATCTTTCCCATCCCAAACCTGCTTTTATATCTATGACTGGCTCCCCCAGCTTCTAGTCACCTGTGCCCTTCCCATCCTCTCCCCTCCTGCTGTTCCCCTCCAGCTACACAATCCAGATACTTCTACTCCTTTTGCACATCCAAAGCATTGATGGAAAAAACTGCTGACCTCTGTAGGTTTTAAATTTATTGCTATCCTGCTAATTCACATATACTCTTTAGCAAATACAAAACCTATCTAGGCAAAATGATGATTTTTCTACATTTCTACAAAATGATGATTTTTAAGAGTAACGTACTCGGTTCCTGAATATCGTAAAACTGAGGGCAAAAAGCTCTTACTCTAAATTTTCTTGAAAGCTTAACATAAATAGTTTAGAAAACAGGATTGGAGGACGTTCCCTTCCGCAAGGACACTTAGAAAGAGTTACTTTGTGAATAACACAGCGTGGGGATGGTTACCTGACCTATGGTTGATTACATATATATTTTAAAACTAAAGCTCCCTTCTATGTTAACATTCAATATGCTAGCAGCATCTAGGGTAATCTTTTACGCCAAAGAATTTTTAAAAGGGGGTTTCCCAGCAACATAGGCTTTGGATCTCATCACTAAAAATTAGAGAATAACATGAACATTAGTTCTCCCCAGTGAAATATTTTAGACAGATGTATATTTACTGAACATAGAAACAGAGACAAATAAAAGCTAACCATAATTTAGGCTTCATTCCCCTGCTAAAACTGCTTAGTTTATATTAAACTGCTATTTCTTTGTTTCACCTACCATTCCCGGGCGAGCTTCTTATAAGCCTTTTTAATATCAGCCTGACTGGCTGTTCGGCTGACCCCTAGGACTCTGTATGGGTCAAAATCCAACGCAGACAGAATTTGCAGGATGAGAACCAGAACTATCAAGAACTGCCAGGAAATGCTCAACTTTTTCACTTCCATTTCTCTTCCTTTCCAGAGCTGAAATGATTGAAGAGGCAGTAAGTTTCAGTGGTAGAAACCTGGACAGTCTTACTTTTTTAGGTAAAGGGATAAGATACAGAGATGAAAAACAAAACCAACAAAAGCTCTTCGGCAGGAAACGCGTCAATCTGTTTGACCAGGTCTTTTAAAATCAACCATCTTGCTGCTACTTTTGAACATACCATACATAAGAACTATTATAGATGGAAAGATGAGCAGTAAGAATTAACAGCAACTTTCCAGACTCCTTGGGTTAGAAAAGCTTTAGAAATGACTGAAAATGAATGAGATGAAGAAATGATAAATAAGCCAATGGGGGAAAACATACATAGGAAAATCAAGGCAACTACATCTCAAATACACTGTTTCACTTAGTCTGACAATAATACTTTAAATTTAAAAAATAAGTGGCTTAAGAACACTTCACTGAGTACATGCTAAATAAATTCATGAGATGGTAAGATTTGCCAGGTGCAAAACTATGAAACTCAATAGCTGTGACATTCTTGGGGTTAAATAAGTACAAGTAGGAAAGTGAGATACTCTTAAAAAAAAAAAAAGACGACAGTTATGACATTGTGTACCCCAAATCTATTCTTTCTCACCACACCCACTGGACCAAAAAAAAAAAAAAAAATAGAGACCAAAGATGAGGAAAAGCTGGTGAGAAAAAATTTAGTTTTCCATGTGAAGGGAGGTTAATGGCAAAAGCTGTAGACCAGGCAAGGTCTTCAAATGTTAAAGATCCATGTCTGGGGAGTGCCATAACTGAATTCACTGTGGGTTCAGAAAGAATCCTGGTTGGTTAATGAACAAGGTAGTGCTGTATTGCACGGACATTTACAGTCCAGAAGTATGATCTTTGTTCTATCATACGTTCAGTTTTCAAGGGTCATATTTATCTTGACTTCTCATGAATTACTCAAGTTTTATGGTTCAAGTGTCTAATGTGACACCTGACTTAAGGAAGGCAAAGCTGTTAACAGCGGTGCATTTTGACAAGTGGAAGTCTCAATAGTGCCTGGGAGTGCTCACAAAATTGACCCATTTGATGGCCAATTTTTAGGACTGCATGCATACTGAGCAAAAATCCTAAACCAAATCAGTCTCTTTCTTGTTAAGGCACCCTATAACCGATTCTGTCCTATAAAACCCCGCACAGAGCGCTGAAACTCGGGAAGGTGAGTTACTGGTTAAGCACGCAGGCTCTGGAACAGGCTCATATTGGGATCTGTCCTCCACCACTTTATGACCTTGGGCAATTTACTTAAACTTGCAAAGCCTCAGTGTCATTCATAAATGGAGGTGAATTAATACCACCTTGAAAGGATCAACAAGGGAGTTAAATGTATGTAAAGGATTTACTGAACATAGGGTCAACAGTCAGAAAGTGATACTTATTATTTTTCCTATCACGCAGTGCAATCGCTGCCTTATTCCACCGTGTCAGTCGCCTCCAGAGAGCAGCCCGAGGCGGGGGGCTGTGAAGTTCTTTGGCTGGCAGTCTCGAGCTCGACTGTGCCCGCCTCGGGGCAGAAACCACCTGCCCAACAGGTAGGCTACCGCCCGAGGCAGTATCCCCCGGTCCAGGTAGCGGCTCCCGGAGGCAAGCTCCAGGTCTGAGCTCCCGCCGGAGGTCGCAACCCTCCAGGAGACGGCCGCCTCCCCCGCCGCCCACCGAGAGCCCTGGGCAGGGCCCTGTCGGCTCCCAGTTTCCCCCGGGCCCGGGGGAACCGGGAACGAGGAGGAACTGACGGGAGATCCCCGAGCCTGCCCGGCCCCGCCGCGTCCGCGGCTCCGCGCGTCACGCCGGGAAGGAGTTACCGGGAAAGGGCACCGGCCCAACCGGCTGCGGCGTCGGTGCTCCACTTAGTCCGCCGGGCCGGGAACCTCCGGTCCGCACCAGCGCTGGCCGGGACCTGGGGAGGGGAGGGGGGCGGGAACGAGCGGGAGGGGTCACGTGACACTTAAAGGCTCGGCTCACCGAAGGCGCGGACTGAACGGGTCGACGACTTCTACTTTGCGAATCTGTTTTGACCCTTGCTACCCGCCGTCTGCGCGTGGACCTGGCGCGGTTGCCATAGGAACGAGGCGCGCTCTTTGGCAGGATCCAAAGGGATGATCGTGACCAAAGAGGCCAAAACGTGCCTCCTAGAGAGGCGAAGTCGCGTTGCATGATGGGATGCCCCAAAGACATCCACGAGTCAGGGAGGAGTTTCCCCTCCTACCAAGAGATGGCCCTCATCTGGCAACAGTTGCTAGGGTGGGGAAGCAATAGCTGGTCCCTGTTTTCTTTAACCCTATTCATAGAATCCTAGAGCGTCAGAGTTGGACGGGACCTTGGGGAGCCTTTCTAGTCCGACTCCTCCTTATACTGATGGGGAGACTAAGGCCCAGAGAGAGGCAGGGACTTGGCCAACGCCTAGAATCCAGGACTCCCAAACTTACCTACCAAAGCGAGCTCCGCCTTAGAATGTACCAGGGACTGGCCTCAGCACGGGAAAGGGATGTGTGTGTGTGGCGGGGAGGGAGAGGTGAAGTCACAGGTGAATTAGGTACACTTTCATTGAGCCAATGATATAGGTTCCTTGGGGATATAAAGATAGAGATTTCATATCCCCCCGCCCTGTTTCTGTTATTTAAAAACATTTTTCTTTGAGTTTATCACCAATACACTGTATCTTTTATTTCTTTATGTTATTTTTTATATTTCTTATATTTGTTCATATTGTCATCGTCTGTCTCCTCCCACTGGAATGTAAGCTTCTAAGGGTAGGGCCTTTTATTGTGTTCACCTAGATCTTCTCGGTGCCTGCGTAGACAGCACAGGCAGGATCTTAACAAATATTTGTGGAATAAACGAATGAATGGGGCTGAGGTTTTGAGACTCAGAGAATGGATTCTAAGGTGGACTTGAGTCGGGTTCAGGTGAATTTTGACTGCCTTGTGCCTCTTACTACCTCTGGGACCTTGAATGGAGACCACTTTCCTGAGCCTGGTCTATAAGATGGGTGAAAGGAACACTTTTTGGTATATTCCTTTGGTAGGATTGTAGTCAATGAGAGAACGCAACGTCAAGTGACTAGCACAGTGGCTGAGACTTAGCAAATGCTCAATAAACAGGAGCAATTATTTATTTATTTGTTTGACAGACAGAGATCACAAGTAGAGAGGCAGGCAGAGAGAGTGGGGGAAGCGGGCTCCCTGCTGAGCAGAGAGCCCGTTGCAAGGCTCGATCCCAGGACCCTGAGATCATGACCTGAGCCTAAGGCAGAGGCTTGACCCACTGAGCCACCCAGGCGCCCCAAACAGGAACAATTATTTTTTGAAGTGTGGAAGTGAGCTGTACAAACTGGGAGTTCGGAGAGTAGATTTCTGCCAGTTTTGGGTGTTTAATTTTTTTTTTTTCTTTGTAGGCGGTACTAGGGTGGGACGGAGGGCAGAGGGGGAATTTAAGACCTTGGTTGGATGAGACAGGCGAGTTTGGAACAGTAAACTACGACATCTGGGCACGGGACTGGGGCAGGAGAATTAGTTTTATCACAGGTGGGGAGGGGGCTAGAGGACACCGTACCCGCGAAGGCCTTGAATGGGGCGGGACAGACCATGGCTCCAGGTATGGGTGTCCCGCTTACCAGCAGTGTGATCGCCTCCCGAGTTTTTGTAAAAGCTGAGTGCTGGTGCCTTCTGGCTGGGGGTGGGCGGCGCGGACTAGGGGTGCGCTCTGGGGGCGGGGCAGAGACGCAGGGTACGCCTTCGGGGCGGGGCGGCGGCACGGGGATGTGTCCTGGGGGCGGGGCGCGGAGGCTGGGCCGCTGGGGGGGAGGTGGTGCGGTGGCGGGGCCTGGGGGCGGGACCCACGGGGCCGAGGGGGGATGAGGGGGCGGGGCTCAACGCGGGGGCCGGTCCCAAGGCGGGTCCTGGGCGGCGGGCGGGGCGCGGCGGCCGAGGCCCGGAAGCGGACCGAGGCCGCCCAGGTTCCCGCGGTCTGGCTGCCATGGACGAGGCGGACCGGCAGATCCTGCGGCGGTGCCGGGTGCAGCTGGTCAACGAGCTGCAGGTGGCCCCGCTCTGGGACGTTCTGCTGACCCGCCAGCTCTTCACGCCCGCCATGATCGAGGATATTCAGGTGCGCCCAGTTTCCCGCTCCGCGCGCAGACTTCACGTCCCAGCTGGGGTCAGGGGGGCCGCGCGGAGAGGGTTGCTGAAGCCTCAGGATGACTTTAAGGCCGAGCTCCCACTCTTTCCTTCCGATCTGTGCCCTCAGTACCCATTCCCTTTGGGGAATCATCCTGTGGGAACCCCCTTTTACCTCGCGGCGTTGAGCCCACTGGTTCGTCCAGCGGAACCGTGCCATCCCAAAAGCCTTTTCCTGGCTTGGAGAGAGTGATGCCCCGCCCCGCCCCGCCCCGCCCCGCCCCGCCCCGCCAGCAGGCCCTGTTGGCTGCAGCAGCACTGTATTTCTGCCCGGGAAGGAGGCCTGTGTTGTTGCTTTTCATGGAGGTTCAGGGCACCCAGCTGGAGGGGTTGAGTCACCCTGCCTGGGTCCCTGGCTAAGTCACTGATCGTCTTTGAACGTTAGTTTCCTGGACTCTGAACTGGGTTACAACGGTAGTAGCGTGCGAACCAAATGAGCTAATGGATGTGGAACTCTAAGGTCAGGTGCAGAGCCAGGGCCTAGCTGCCTGCGCCCTGCCCACTTTGGCCAGCCTCTCCTGTGCTAAGTTTGTTTCCTAAGGGGTTTTGGAGGTGAGGGGCCTGATGCAGGGAATGGAGAAAATAAATATGCGAGGTTCTCTTTAAAAGCAGGGGGAATCTAGGAGGTATTTCCTACCAGGAGATGTGAGTGGCTTTCCCGAGGCCCCTGCCCTGGGGGCTGCTTGCAGACCGAGTGTCGGTTTCCTCCATCATCATCCAGGAGCTTGACCTGACCTAGTGAGGAAGTCTTTAATAGGATAAGGGTCATATGAAAAATTATCAGTGAATAATAATAAATTAAAAGGAGTCTTATGGGCATCTGCTCTGTGGCCTGTACTAAAGAGTGGAAATGGTTGAAGGCCATCTCTGTGCCTTCAGATACAAATTCAAATGCCCACAGAGGCCCAATGGGTGGGCATTGCGGTGGGCAGCCCCCCAGCTCCACCTCAGTATGGTCATTCCAGAATGCTGGCCCTGTGTGGCCAGGTTTTTAAAGAGAAGCTGAAAATCCTGATTTTGATGTTAAATTCCCTGATTTTAAATGTTAGCGACAAATTCAGATTTTTATTTTATTTATTTATTTTTAAAAGATTTTATTTATTTGACGGAGAGAGAAATCACAAGTAGGCAGAGAGTCAGGCAGAGAGAGAGGGAAGCAGACTCCCTGCTGAGCAGAGAACCTGATGCGGGCCTCGACCCAGGACCCTGAGATCATGACCTGAGCCGAAGGCAGAGGCTCAGCCCACTGAGCCACCAGTGGCTCCTCACAGCTTTCTTGGCGTGCGCACACAAAGGCCTCACCCCGCACCACTGTCTCCCATTCCAGCTTACATTTCTCATTTCTCTGAATTCACTCTTCACTTCCTAATGTTCTCTGGGGTCTCAGCAAAGCTTTACATCCCATGCTGGAGGCCTCCCTGGCTTCCCAAGTCTGAGTTGGATTCCTCTGGACCCTCCTAGGCTCACGAGCTTTCCCACCTGACACTTCTCTCTTTGCTGTGTCACTGTTGATTTGTGTGTTTGCAGCCCCCGCTAGATGTCAGCGTCTTGAGGACTGATACTGTCCACTGCTGTATTTTCAGCACTTAGCACAGTGTTGGGCTCATCAGAGATGCCTCCAAAATACTGAATGAATAGATGAGCAAAGGCTGGCAGGTGGCACACACTCAGTGTAATTGCACGCAGAAGTTTTGCACACGTGCCCAATTGTTTAGACCTATGCTAGATGGGAAATGGGGGGACAAAGTGAGAGTCACAGGACATTGTGTGGATAATAGTGCCATGTCTTTCTTTCCAAACAGCATGCAGGCTCAGGGTCTCGGAGCGATCAGGCCAGGCAGCTCGTCATAGATCTAGAGACCCGAGGGAGTCAGGCCCTTCCTTTGTTCATCTCCTGCTTAGAGGACACAGACCAGAACCAACTGGCTTCAGTCCTGAGAGCGCGTCGGCAAGCGGAAAAGCAGAATCCAGAGGCTGTCAGACCCCGGAACCCCATGCCTGTGGTGGTTGGAGCAATGGGCCTCACACCAGAGGATCTCAGAGGGAAGCAAGGTCCGTCAAAGCTGACTCCTGGAAAACTTGCTCCAGTGGTGCTGGGGCCTCAGCAGCTCTGGCCAGCCAAGCTCAGGCCAGAAGTTCTCAGACCAGAGATGCCCAGGCCAGTGGACAGTGGTTCTGGACGATTCAGTGATGCCTGTGAGTACCAAGAGAGTGGTTAGTGGGTAGTTGGACCTTTGAGGTTAGTGACCTTGGATATCCAGATCTCTCCCCAGGTGTGGGAAGTTCTCAGCCATTATTTTCCTAAATAAGCTTGCTGCCCCTTTCTCCCTCTCTTCCTTCTTCTGGGACCCCAATAATGCATAGATGTTTCTTTTCTTTTTTTTAAAGATTTTATTTATTTATTTGACAGAGATCACAAATAGGCAGAGAGGCAGGCAGAGAGAGAGAGAGGAGGAAGCAGGCTCCCTTCTTAGCAGAGAGCCCAGCGTGGGGCTCGATCCCAGGACCCTGAGATCATGACCTGAGCCGAAGGCAGAGGCCTTAACCCACTAAGCCACCCAGGCGCCCCAGATGTTTCTTTTCAAGATAACCCATAGTTCATGTAGGCTTTCTTTTAACCCATAGTTCATGTAGGCTTTCTTCATCTTCTTTGTTCTCTGCCGATAATTTCAAAAGACTTGTTTTCTACTTCGCAGATTCTTTCTTCTGCAGGATCGAGTCTGATATTGATGCTCTGTTGCATTTTTAATTTGATTCATGGCATCCTTCAGCTCTAGAATTTCTGTTTGGTTCTTTTTTATGATTTCTATCTCTTTTGTTCATGTGTTATTTTCCTGATGATGTTGAATTGTCTTTGTGTGTACTCTTGTAGCTTAGTGAGCTTCCTTGAGACCGTGATTTTGAATTCTTTGTCAGGCACATTGCAGGTTTCTATTCTCAGGGGTCAGTTTCTGGAAAATTATTGTACTCCTTTGGTGGTGTCCTATTTCCTTGATTTCTCATGTTTCTTGAAGTCATGTGTTGGCTTTGCATTTTTTTTTTTTTAAAGATTTTATTTATTTATTTGACAGGCAGAGATCACAAGTAGGCAGAGAAGTAGGCAGAGAGGCAGGCAGAGAGAGGAAGGGAAGCAGGCTCCCTGCTGTGCAGAGAGCCCGATGCGGGGCTCGATCCCAGGACCCTGGGATCATGACCTGAGCCGAAGGCAGCGGCTTAACCCACTGAGCCAGCCAGGCGCCCCTGGCTTTGCATTTGAAGGAGGAGTCATTTGAAGGAGTCCTTACTGACTGGCTTCTTCATTGCATCCAATCTTGGATTATTTTGTACCAGCGGTGTTTTGGAACATCTCTGCTTGATTCCTGGACTTCCACAAAGGCAGTCTTACTTGTGGGTGATGGTCAAAATTGGTGTTCATTGTTGGGGAAGACAGTAGGAAACTCTTATTTGTGCCATTTTGATGATGTCCCTCTCTCACTTTATGGATCGATACTACTAATTTGGGGAATGAAAGAATTCCTCAGTTGTGGATACTAGTTATATTGTCGGGGTGCCGCAGTATTTTGAAAATGAGTGATAGATTCAGATTTAAGGCTGTGAACTATAGGATTCTTTAGGCAGGTAAAACCACTTCCAGTTAAAAAATGGACATGAATGCTTTTCTGGCATGGCTTTAAAACTCTTGAGAGAATAGTTCCCAGCGAGGGGTCCCAGCCCTCTGTGAGCAATGAATGGCACAACTGTGGGATCACGAGAATAGGCTCCAGTACCGCTCACCTTGCACGGCAGCTCAGAGATAGCCACCAAGTTCTCTTTGTTTAAGAAGAAAAATCCTACTACCTTACAGGCTGGTGGTCAGTGCTCTTCTTGCTAATCAAAATGAAAACTCATTTGACACTGAAGGAAAAATGATCACCTTTACTCATTCTGCAAATACTTGCTGAGGACTTTCTGGGTGCTGGGCTCCACGGGTTCTACAGAAGGAAGTGTCCACTCTCCTAGAGCTTCCCTTATGCCTTTCTGTTTTAGAATTTCATGTGAGTGGAATCACGTCATGTATACTCTTCTGGCTCCTTTCCTTGGCATAACAACACAGCGTCGTATGTGTCTGTACCTTGTTCCTTTTCAGGCTGTGGAGCATTCCCGTGTATGGCTTTTTTCCTAAATTGTCTATCCATCAACTCATTGAGGAACATTTGGATTGTTTCTAGTTCTGGGCATTAAGACTATAAGGCTTTAGGGGCGCCTGGGTGGCTCAGTTAGTTAAACATCAAACATCTGCCTTCGGCTCAGGTCATGATCCCAGAGTCCTGGGATCGAATCTTGCATTGGGCTCTCTGCTCAGTGGGGAGCCTGCGTCTCCCTCTCCCTCTGCTTGCCTCTCTGCCTACTTGTGATCTCTCTCTCTCTCTCTGTCAAATAAATAAAATCTTAAAAAAAAAAAAAAAGTAATGCTTCAGTGGGGTTGCCTGGGTGGCTCCGTCGGTTAAGCATCTTACTTCAGCTTCGGTAATGATCTTGGGGTTCTGGGATCGAGCCCTGCGTTGGGCTCTGCACTCGGCGGGGAGTCTGCTCCTCCCTTTCCCTCTTCCACTGTTCCTCCTCCCCACTGTGCACGCGTGCCCTCTTTCTCTCCACTAAATAAATAGAATCTTTAAGGAAAAAAAGGAATGAGGCTTCGGCGATCATCCACAGCCCAGTTGTTTTCTGCTCACGCACTCATTTCTCTTGTGTCTGTACCTGGGAATGGAATTGCTGGTCAGAGGGTAGGTGTGTGTTCAACCTCACTGGAGACTTCTGAGCTGTTCTGCAAGGTGGCCGTGCCCCTGGTCTCCCACTAGCACTGCCTGATGTTCCCCAAATTCTTGCTCTTTTATACTCAATGGCGCCCCTGTTGGGCCAGCCATTCATGTCTTCTCTCTCTCTCCAGGCACTCAGGAGATTTCCAAGCAAAATGCTGATTTGGTGAGTCTTCTTGTGACCTGGGGTCAGCTGCCTTGGCTTTGGGCTCTTCTGCTCTACACATCCCAGGTCCTTCCCTCTGCAGCTGTCCCAGAAGCCCAGGGAACCGAGCCCAGCTGGCGGGAGGGTCCCAGGCCCTCTACAGCTCTTCCCGGAGCCGACTGTCCAAGCCTCCCTGCTCTTCCCTTGACTGTGAAGTCGGGGGCTCAGACCTTACGTGAGGCAGCTGTCAGAATCGGCTATGGGACCGAGTCACTCTCACTCATAGCACTTGTTGTGTGAGTCCTGCGTGCCGGTCCTGGGCTCCATGCTGCGATCCTGGGAGTGGACCCCTTGTGTTTCTAGTCCTTGTGCTAGACCATCAGCCTAGCAGAGGCCACGTACACAAAGAAATAATCTCAGTCTAAATGGTGTTAAACTGTGACAAAAAGGACGGGCTACTGTGAGGGAGGATTCCTGGGGACCTGGGGAGCCTGGCTGGGAAGTGGTAGCCGTCCTGAGGGTGGGCCGGGCCACGGGTCTGTCTGCTGCAGGAGCCACCCACACGGTTCTCGGGGGCTCCCCTGGATGGACAGTCTGTCCAGTCCTTTTAGGGCAAATGCCTCTGGGTGTTGGATTTCTAAGCTGAGGGCCACTGTGGGAACTGGTCTTCTCTCCCAGGTTCGCTCTCTGTGTGCCCTCCTGCACATGCTCACGCCCGTATGGGTTGCAGTCTGTGTGCTTTTGCCCCAGAATGCCAGGTGTAGACGCTGCTCCCCTGTCAGAGGGCGGGCAGACCCCTCTTCTCTCCCCTCTCTCCAGACTGCCAGCTGCATGCATAAAAACCAGGGGCTCGCCTTTTCTCCTGAGGGGGGCCAGCGAGCGCCCTGCTGACACTGGTCCTTGTGCTTGGGCAGGCCTACGCCCTGAACGCAGACCCCTGCGGCCACTGCCTGATCATCAACAACGTGAACTTCTGCCTCGAGTCGAGGCTTACGGCCCGCACCGGCTCCAACATCGACTGTGAGAAGCTGTGTCAACGCTTCCACTTGCTGCATTTCATGGTGGAGGTGAAGTGCGACCTGACGGCCAAGGTAGGGTTGAGGTCCACGGGGAGAGGTGGGGGCGGGGTGGGGCAGGGTCCCGCGACCCACCTGACGAAGCCCAGCGACTCCCTGAGATGAGCCCTGAAGACTGGAGCACCAGCAGAGCCAGCGTGGCTCCGGGGGCGTCCCAGGTCGGGTCGCAGCCTCCGGGCGACCTGGTTGAAGACGGGTCCACCCCTGTGTCTCTGGACTTTAGCTTCCTCATCCAGACAGCAGGAAGGGGATCCCCTCCTCGGGTCACTGTGAGGAGTGAATGAACCATGCCCGAGCCCAGCACCTTGTCGCCAGGAACGGTGGCTCTTGTGACTGTCGGGGCAGTCCTTACGGCAGTGTTGGCCGCGGGAGCAGGGGACGTGCTCTGCCCAGGTGGGCCTGGCGTGGGGACCCGATCCGTCCATGCTCTGCCTTATCTGCCACCTTCTCTCGTAGCAAATGGTCCAGGCTTTGGTGGAGCTGGCGCGGCGGGACCACAGCGCCCTGGACTGCTGCGTGGTGGTCGTCCTCTCCCACGGCTGTCAGGTAGAGGTGCTGGCTCCTTGGGCAGCGGCCTCCGAGCTGAGAGGGAGGCTGAGCTGAGAGGCCATGACAGAGCCCCGGTCTTTCCTGGGTCCTGGCTTTGTGGGAAGAGCCATGGGGCCCTGTCTTTCCCCTGTTGGTTTCCTGGGAGCCATCTGGCCCTCTGAGGAGTTGGAATCTCCTCTGGGAGGGTGCCGTGTTCCTGGGAGAAGCCATCTGGGAGAGAGAGGGAAGGAGGTTCTGCTCACCAGAGCTCCCACCCTGGATTTCGTTCAGAGCCGGGCATAGCACACAGGAGCTCCCAGCTCCTCCCTCCGTCCTGCTCGCTGTGGTCCCAGGTCCTTTGCTGGGTGTCAGGACGCTGGATCCACTCAGGGCTTGGCCATTAATGTGCTAGGTCATTGTGGCCCAGCCTCTCTCCGTGCCTGGGCCTCAGGTCCCTCACTCATCTTTTCATGTGAGGGTTGGACAGATCAGAAAGGAGGCCTGTAGTCCCGCAGGGGGTTGCATAGTGTTTTCAAAATTGGGAACTTTGTCATAGAAATCAGGGTTTTCCCGCCTCTCTTGGAAAACCACAGTGGTCTGGTGTTACTAGGCCACATCCTCACAGAGCGAAACTCCGGCCTGTAGCTGGGCAGGGAGTGCCCCCTTTTCATTCGTGGTGTGACCCCCAGACCAACAGCATGGTCTTCACCAGGAACTCATGAGAAATCAGACTCTCAGGCCTTGCCCCAGACCTCTTCATGGAGAGCCTGCACTTTGACAGGGCCCCACATGCAGAAAGTCTGAGAAGAACAGAACAGTGGTTCTCAATGCTTAGCTGCATCAGAGCCTCCTGAAAGACCATGTTGCTGGTCCCCACCACCAACGTTTTGAGCCTGGTCTGGGGGAGCCCAGGACTCAGGAAGCCTTATGGGTTCCCGGGTGATGCTGATGCCACTGGTCCAGGGACCACAGTTTGAGAACCACCGATCTAGAAGAAGCGGGCTGCACTCTCCAGTTAGGCGGTTTTAGGCACGTGAGTCTGAGACCTCCGGAATGTAGACTGGCTGGACCCATCCAGAACCAAACTCTGTCTGAGTCAGGCTTGTGCCCCTGGCTGGGACCTTCTAAACGCTTGGCCCCACAAAGCCACTGGAGAGTGTGTTGGATTCTTACCCCGGCTTTTTGGTTTTGTAACCAGGATTCTTGGTCTCCTAGGCCAGCCACCGCCAGTTCCCGGGGGCTGTTTATGGCACGGACGGATGTCCTGTGGCCATCGAGAGAATTGTGAACATCTTCAATGGAGCCGGCTGCCCCAGCTTGGGAGGGAAGCCCAAGCTCTTCTTCATCCAGGCCTGCGGTGGGGGTAAGCAGGTCCTCAGTCTCCCTGCCGATGACTCCAGTGGGAGGAGCCGTCCCCGCCTCCTCTCCAGCCCCTCCTGATGCCCAAGGGGTCTGTCCGGGCAGTCAGAGGGTCCCAGACATGGCCCCTTTGCCCGAACGGCTGCACCTGCCTTTGTCTCAAGTAGGCCTCAGCTTTGTCTGGCCTGTGGAGGTTAGAGCCTCTGGGGCTCCTCTTTCATTTTTCTTATCATTCCTTCAACCTGCCTCAACTAGACCCTCTTTCTACTGTCCCAGAGAAAGGGAGGCCAGAGCCAAATTACTAGAATTCCCAAGGGCCCAGGTATTGGAGATTTCAGTAATATTATGTATATATATATATACACATATACATATATACATATATATACACACATATGTGTATATATCCACATATGTGTATATATATACACAAACATATATACACATATATACGAACATATGTAAATATATATATATCTTTTTTTTTTTTTTTTTTTAGAAAGAGAGCACATGAGCAGGGGGTCGGGAGGGGCGGAGGGAGAGGGAGACAAGCAAACTCCCTGCTGAGTGGGGAGCTGGACGTGGGGCTCTATCCTAGGGCCCTGAGAGCACAACCTGAGCTGAAACCTAGAGATGAATGCTTGCTTAGCTCGCTGAGCCCCCAGGCGCCCCAGCAGCATATTCTGGATGTGTTCATCTGTCCCATATTGTTCCATGTTGGTGGGGTCAGGTGAGGGGCCGTGGGTTGTCTAGGAGAGCAGGCTCTGGTCACATGACATCTGATAAGTGTTTATTGAGTAAAAATTATTGTGAGCTGTGATACCTGGCTGTGTGTTAGGTGCTGGGGATACAGGATAGACAGGGTCTCTGCCCCCTGGAATTTGTAATTTGACTGGAATTGCATCAGGTCACGGTTGTGACCCATGCTCGTAAGTTGACCATGAGTGACTGGGAATGCCAGGTTCCATCTTGGTGGTTCCTTGCTTCCTACACAAACATGGGCTGGTTTATCTCTAGAAGCCTTGGCAAGTGGAGATAAGAACAGAACCTCCTAGCGTCGCTATGAAATATCTTGCGTATTACAGCACTTAACACGGTGCCTGGTTCATTCTTGTAGCTGCAGACCTGGACTCTCCCCGTCCCCCTGGCCCCAGAGGACCCTGTGTCGCCTAGGAGCCCCCTGCCCCCCATCCCCAGAACAGTTACCTCAGAGTTATGGTAAGAGGAAGGTGGAAAGGCTGCTGCTCTTGGGGTTGTAGAAATCCGCTCCCACTCATCATTTTTATTATGATCCCAAAGTAGTCAGCCGTTGTTCTTACTCTGAAGCAAATGGTTCTTCCTTCTTGTGCGAAGAGAGGGAAAGGTGAGGTGGGCAAGGAAACCATGGACAAGGTTGAGCTGGGACACAGCTTGCTGGGAAGGTCACAAGTAGCTGGTCTCCTGGCTTGTTGCGTCCTCATTGTCCCCTCTCAGCAGCACGGTCACTCTCCGGACTCCTTAGCTGGCCCGCGAGGTCTGCAGCCTCTGTTCTGCCCTCACAGCACTTTGTCCTTGTACTGAGATGGCCTTGCCCCCGGTCAGCTCTCCTGGGGGCAGGACCAGGCCTGTCTGCCCCTCAGCTGGGTCCCCCCAGCCTGGCACAAAGCCCACAGCATGGTTGCATCTTCTGTGGATCCTGATTATTTGATTTTGAAATAGCAAAATTTTGAGCAAAATTTTAAATAATATTGATTCCCTTCACTAAAAACAAACCTCCCCCCCCCCCCCAAAAAAAAAAAAAAAAGAAAAGAAAACCCAACTCCGTGGAAACAGCAAGGTTTCAGAGCTGGAATGCGTGATTGTGAGGCTGCCTTTGGAACTGCGATCCCGGCTCGGCCCCAGGTGGCAGTGGATCTTGTGTGCAACGCGGTGGCCACATGGGGGTGGTAGGAAGACCGAGAACAGAAATGCTGACCTGCCCACAATCTGGGGACACAATCGGGGTGTCTCCTTGTTTACAGGCATTTGAACATCTGCCCTGGATTTTGGTGAATCTTGGGTTGCTTTTGCAAAATACACTGTTGTTACAATTTCAGAGTTTTAAAATTTTTGGACAAGTCCCGCGCCCCTTCCATCAGAGGTGGCACACGCCCCAAGGCAGAGACACGCGCCTCGAAGCTGGTAGCGCTGGTGTGGCCTGTCGGGAGGGGGTAGCGTGATATAGCGTGACCCGGCCCCATGCACTTGGCTGGAGCCAAGCGGCCTCTGCCGGGCCGAGCTGTTTACTTTGGGGTCGCCCCTCTTCAGACTTCCAGGGCTCATGCTGAGAAGGCAGAAGGGAGCAGTGTGCTGCAGGTTGTGGATTTTTTTTTTTTCTTTCTTTCTTTTTTTTTTAAAGATTTTATTTATTTATTTGACAGAGATCACAAGTTGGCAGAGAGGCAGGCAGAGAGAGAGGGGGAAGCAGGCTCCCTGCTGAGCAGCAGAGAGCCCCACGTGGGGCTCGCACCCAGGACCCTGAGATGACCTGAGCCGAAGGCAGAGGCTTTAACCCACTGAGCCACCCAGGCGCCTGCTGTGTGTTTCCTCTTACGGGGAAGTGAGGGAATAATGCGGTTGCTGTGCAAGGGTTTGTGGGAACACCGTTTTCAGTTCTCTTGGGTGTAACTCTTGTAACTTGTTTTTAAAGCTTTTTAAAAAAGTTGCTGCACCCCCCCCCCATTTTTCCTAATGAATGTATACAACTTTTGTCATAGTAAAAAGTAAAGGTTGGGGGACACCTGGTGGCTCAGTCAGTTAAGATCCAACTCTTGATTTTGGCTCAGGCCATGATCTCAGGGTCGTGAGATCGAGCCCTGCATCGGGCTCCATGCTCAGTAAGGAGTCTGCTTGAGATTCCCTCCAGTTCCCTCTGCCCCTCCCCTGCTCGCCACCCGCACCCCCCCCCAAATTAAAAGAAAGGCAAAGCTTCTGTTTTTGTTTCTTGCTGAGGTTTGCTCAGCCCTGGAACCCTGGCTGCAGAGGGAATCCGGTGGTCTTAGGCTGGGCCAGGCCGGATGTCACCAGGAAGCGAGGAGCAGGAGCTTTGGCCTGTGGGTGTCAGTGATAAGTGGTGTGTCTGTCTTTGGTTCCTGCAGAGCAGAAAGACCATGGGTTTGAGGTGGCCTCTGCTTCCCCCGAAGACAGGACCCCAGGCAGTGACCCCGAGTCAGACGCTGTCCCATTCCAGGAAGGCCCGGGCCCCTTTGACCAGCCGGATGCCGTATCTAGTTTACCCACACCCAGTGACATCTTTGTGTCCTACTCCACCTTCCCAGGTGAGTGCGTCAGGAGAGCACCTCCTTCCAGCTGGCGGGTCCCCTGCTCTGCCCTCGAAGCAGCTGTGCTGTGAAGGAAAGACGTGGGTGTGAGTCTTGGCTCTCCCTCTTGCTGAGGGACCCTAAGCAAGTTCCTTGGCCTCTCTGAGCCTCAGCTCGGTGGATGCAGGCAAGGCACTGAGGAGGCAGAATTTAAGGGCGGACCTGCTCTTGGATTTGTAGACCTCACTTGCCTCTCTCTTGTCTTGGTCCTGTCTCGGTCTTCTCATCTTTAAAATGGGAATAGCAGTTGCACTTCAACGGGCATCCTGGGGATTCTCGAGGTGGGTAGTGCCTCGCTGAGAATGCTGACTGGCACGTAGCAGGTGTGAACACGTTAGTCTCCTTCCTTTCTCAGCCCTTGGGTGAGTCATGTGACTTCTCAGAGCCTTGTTACTGGGAAAGCAGGAATCATGACCGGAGTCCCAAGGTGGCGGTGAGGGTGAGATTAGGTCCTGTCCGGGATAGTGGGCAGAGATGTGGGCCGCTCCTGCGGGCCGTGTGAATGGGCCTAAGTCCAGAGGCAGCACCAGCCTGCACATGGTGGGGGGGTAGGGCTCCCTAGTAAAGCTCATCCTGTCTGCTTCTGCAGGCTTTGTTTCCTGGAGGGATACCAAGAGTGGCTCCTGGTACGTGGAGACCTTGGATGGTGTTTTTGAGCAGTGGGCTCACTCTGAAGATTTGCAGACCCTCCTGCTCAGGGTGAGTGTGGCCTCCCTCTGGGGGAGGAGAGGGAAGGCTGCTGGGAGGGGCGTGCATCGTCCTCGGGGGAAGGCGGGAGGGTCCAGCAGGGCCCCGGGCCCACACCAGAGGATCCTCGTGCACCTTGGCTTGCCGGGAGAGTTGGTGCTTCTGCTTCTCTGAATTGCAAGGTGTTACTGTTATGGTGACATTGGCCCGTTCAGAGGGCTGCCTTCCTGGCTCCTCTGAGGTCCCAGGCTGACGCTGGGATCCCCGCTGGCAGGGCCAGTCCTCAGGGCAGGGCAGGATGGCGCAGTGGCCAGAGCATGGCGTTCCTGAAGGCGGTCATGGGGCCTGCACCCTTCGCCACACCGTGTACTCTTTCAGGCTTGACGCTTGAGAATTATGATTTCCTCAGTATATGCCCTTCTCAGGGCAGGGGGCCCGGTGAGAGAGCAGAAGCATGGCCTGATGGGTCCCCAGCCTCCCTCCATGGAATCCTCAGAACAGCTGCCTCCTCCACAGGTCTCAGAGCTCACGTGGGCCTCTCCCACTTGCTCAGCTGTTTTGTGTCATGAGAAGGTTCTAGAAGGGCTGGGGCCATGCCTTCCTCCTGGGGAGGCTGTGGCTCTGTGCTTTGCAGAGCAGAGCCAAGGACAAAGGAAAAGCAAGTGAAGGACTTGAGGGGGCCCCGTGTGCCGTGGCTCTGGGCCAGTGACCTCAGAGGCAGTGGGGGGCCGTGTGGGGTCAGGCTGGGAGTCCCTTGGGGCCTGATCCCTTCTCTCAACTCGTCCTTAAGCGAACCCCTCGATCTGATTGGAACTATGTGAATTTTTGAAGTTTGAAATTTTGAATTTTGAGTTTTCTAAACTTACAGTAGAGATATTTTTCTTTAAACACCCTCCCTCCCAACTTGAGGAGACTGCAGGTTTTTTAAGTAGTTCTAAAGCTTTTATGTATGGACGTATGTATTTATTGAAGTGTTGTTGACACACGTAGCGATGTTCTGTGAGTTTCAGGCACACAACACAGGAGCTGGCCATTCTGTACGTCATGCTGTGCGTACCACGATAAGTGTAGTCGCACTCTGTCATCATACAAGGTTATTACAATATTATCGACATATTCTCTATGCTGTACTTTTCATGCCCGGAAGTTTCTACCTCTTAATCCCCTTCGCCTATTTTGCCCATCCCCCCACTGCCCGGCCCTGGAGCATCGTTTACAACAGCCAAGATACGGAAGCAGCCCAAGCGTCCATCCACAGATGTGTGGATAAAGAAGACGAGGTATAGATACACAACAGAATATTACTCAGCCGTAAAAAAGGACGCGCGCTCTCCATTTGTGACAGCATGGATGGAGCTAGAGGGTATTAGACCCCCAACGTGAAATAAGTTAGAGAAAGACAAACAGTATAGTTTCACTCGTGTATAGAATCTAAAAGATAAAACCAACAGACAGAAACAGACTAGACACAGAGTACAAGCTGGCACTAAGACGGGGCTGGGTCAGTGGCCATTCCCACCCATGGGCCATGTTACTTCCATCGAGAGCGCTCACAGACCTCCCCGTGCTCATGTTTTCACAGGTCGCTAATGCTGTTTCGCAGAAAGGGTTTTACAAACAGATTCCCGGTTGTTTCAATTTCCTCCGGAAAAAACTCTTTTTTAAAGTGTGATGAGGGCCAGGGCCCCTCCCCTACTCACCTTGCTTTACTGTTCTCCCCAAAACCTTCCTGCCCACAGAGGAAGTGGCCTGGGCCCACGGCAGCCGAGGCCCCATCTATCCTACAGCCACGGTTGTCATTCTTTAAAGGGGTTTGTGGCCTGTTGTGGGTCTACTCTTTCCTCACTGGTGGCCAACAGGCTCTTAGCAGCTTCCACATTGGAGACAAATGACGGGATACAGAGGAAGAGGAGCGGAAGATGGCCAAGGACACCACAGGGCTCTTCTCAGCTGCCCTTTCTCCAACCAGTGGCTGGGGCCTGTCACTCCGCTGTCGTCACTAGAGGACGGCATCTCAGCCTCAGTACTATTGACATTTGGGGCCAGATAATCCTCTGTTGGGGGGCCATCCTGGGTGCTGGAGGGAGTTTAGTGGTGTCCCTGGTATCTGCCCGCAGACGCCTGTACGCCTCTTCCTGAGTAGCAACAACCAAAAATGTCTTCAGACATTGCCCGGTGTCCCTTGGTGGGACCCCGCTTGAGAACCACTGATCTGTAGGAAATTTTGGCTACAAACAAACCAGCATCTCTCTTAGATCAGCAAGTTTGGGGCTACTGGAGTCTGGACAGCTGGAGTCTGCGAATCCTAAATGAAGTTCTAAGTTACCAATTTTTCTTATGTTCCAGTATTCTTAAAAAAAATTTTTAAGTGAATATGGATAGCTTTTTTTTTTTTTTGCCTATTTCCCCCCTCATTTTGTTCCAACTGTTTGTTTTTCCTTATAAAGGAGTTTTTTGACTTTTTATTTCTATTTTTTTTAAAGATTTATTTGAGTGAGAGAGAGAGAGGGGAAGGGCAGACGGAGAGAAAGTCCCCAACAGACTCCATCCTGAGTGCAGAGCCCAACTCCAGGCTCAATCCTATGACCCTGAGATCACGAGCCGAAACCAGGAGTCAGATTCTCAACTGACTGTGCCACCCAGGTGCCCCAGATTTTGGCTTTTTTAAAAAAACGTCACCCAGGGCGCCTGGGTGGCTCAGTGGATTAAGCTTCCACCTTCGGCTCAGGTCATGATCTCAGGGTCCTGGGATCGAGCCCCACATCGGGCTCTCTGCTCAGCAGGGAGCCTGCTCCCCACCCCCCACACCGCCTGCCTGTCTGCCTACTTGTGATCTCTCTCTCTGTCATATAAATAAATAAATAAAAGCTTAAAAAAAAAAAGTCTCCCCATCTCTTACTTTATTTGAACCCCACCCCATCTTAGGAAGGTGACTGGGCTGGGAGCTGTGTCCTCGCGGCAATGAGGTCACAGGTAAGGCACCATCCCTGAGGTCTTGCCAGATCTCCAGACCGTAGCCAGTTCGTAGCTCTCAGGGCATGGGTGTGAGTCTTGTTTGCTGAAACTCACCAAGATAGGGATTCATGTAGTTGTCACCTCATTATTATTTAGTTCCTTGACCCTTCTAAGTCTGCACTAGTCGCCGGGACTTGTGGTGGTTCGTTATTTGCAGTCACCTGTGGGCCACATCCAAGCAGATAACCCAGTTGACCCAGCAGAGCAGAGCAGGGCTTGGCAGTTTCTGGCTTTCTCCCTCCTGAAATTCAGGCGAATCAGGTGGCCCTCTCTTGGGGATCCCTGGTGACCTTCAGGAGAACGGGATGTTACCACAGCTCTTCACGGACCTGGGGGGTTTCTTAGCCCAAGGTGCTGTTTGGGGCTCAGGGCCATGGGCCTACGGACATCCAAACACCAAGAGCCGAATGTGTGCATGGGCAGGTGTTTCGATTTCATTTGTTTCTCAGGGGGATCGAGAGCCCTGAAAGGGTTAAACCAGCGGTGACATATTTGCAAGGCACTGTGCTGCGTTGCTTTCAGAGGCCGGTTATCAGTGTCCGGTTAGCGGTGTCCGTGGAACCCTTCACCAGGCCAGTCCTGCCTCTCAGTGCTGCTGCTGGAGCTCCACGGCGCAGGGACTCGACTCTCGTGCGAGAGTGTGTGTCCAGTGGGTTCACGGCAGCCACAGGAGAGGGGACGATAGGGCACAGATGACAACGTCACTCGTTATGGTCGTAATAAAGAATATTACTGATCTGTCCCAAAGGACGACCTAGAGGGATGGACTGAGATGTAAAATGTGATACCGTGTTCGGGGACGGCGTGAAGAGTGAGATGCTATTTTTGGCTAGAAGATACTCTGTATGAACGTACACAGGTATATGATACAGGCATGTACGTAAAGTCCGGAAGACCATCCACCATGCTCTTAACAGTGATTATCTCTGGAAGGTGGGATCGGAGACATAAAATGAGGGGGACTTTCCTGTTTTACTGGGTACACTCCTGTATTCTAGTATTCTGACAAAGACTGTGTATTACCTTCTCAAATAAAAATAAACATTCCGCTGGTGGCTGCTGAGAATGCGAGTGTTGCTGTCATTCCACGAACATTTGTTGAAAGGATGAATGCCCTTGGCCACCTGTCCCCTGTCCCCACCCTGCTCGTGCGTGGCAGGTGCTCCCGGCTGCACACGGCACGCCCCAGGCTGGGAACACAGCAAGGTTTCAGCGGGGCCTCTGCAGCTGCTGGGGCCGCTTCCACCAGAAGACAGCTGCCTGCTCGAATGTGCCAGTCCTGGAGCCCATTACTGGACACGTGTACCTGCTCCCGCTGCTATCCCAAGAGCTGCGGGGGGCCTCTGCCCAGCCTCCCCAAGCTTGCCTTTCCTGTTGATCTCTGACATCTGGCCATGCTTTCGGCTATGGCCTGCTCTGTGGTGCCTCTGTCTGGCTCAGGACAGCTGATGCTGGGATAAAAAAGGACAGTTGCCCCCCAGCCCCTTCTTTGGGTCCCCAAGGTTGCTGCCAGGATCAGCTGCTCGGTGGTGACTCACGCAGCAGCTGTGCTGGAAAGGGCCCCGGGGTTTGGCTGGGGAAGTGTCCCTAAGCTCACCTTCCCGCCAGGCGGTCTTGCGCCGGGCTCTTTTGAAATCCTGATGGAAGCCTGCAGTCCAAGGCTTGGATTTTGCTTTGCCCCCAAGGGAATCACGGCTCCTGCACCCCTAACCCCCTCCAACCCCCCCATCCCCCGAACTGAGCAAACACAAACCACAGTGAATTTAACAGCCACACCCTTCTTTTTTTTTTACGTTTTTCTCCAGCAATCTTCTCTGGACTCTCCGGTGCCTGTGACCCCTTGATGGCAAAGGGCCACCAGCAGACAGACAAATGGACAGAGAGCCTGTGTGCGGTGATGAGTCCCAGAGAGGGCCACCTGCTCCTTTGACAGTGCGGTGTCCCTCCTGCGACCACGTGCTCATGGCTGTGGTTTCACACTGGATTTTTTTTTTTTTTAAGATTTTATTTATTTGACAGAGATTACAAGTAGGCAGAGGCAGACAGAGAGAGGTGGAAGCAGGCTCCCCGCTGAGCAGAGAGCCCAACGCGGGGCTCGATCCCAGAACCCTGGGATCACAACCCGAGCCGAAGGCAGAGGCCTTAACCCACTGAGCCACCCAGGCTCCCCTCACACTGGATTTTATTTATTTATTTATTTATTTTTAAAAAAGATTTTATTTATTTGAGAGAGAGAGAATGAGAGAGACAGAGAGAGCATGAGAAGGGGAGTAGGAGAGGGAGAAGCAGACTCCCCACTGAGCAGGGAGCCCAATGTGGGACTCGATCCCAGGACTCCAGGATCATGACCTGAGCTGAAGGCAGTTGCTTAACCAACTGAGCCACCCAGGTGTCCCTCACACTGGATTTTAAAACAAGAGCATCAGTTTGATTCAGTTGAACAGTTCTCTGCAAAATAAACTTAAAAGGCTGAAATCACGTGCCAGCTTTCCCTCGCTTCGGGCGCTATCACAAACAGCGCATGCAACTCCCCTGTGTTCTAGGCTTCTGTAAAATTGTAGAGGGGGTCCTGGTCTGGTTCAAGTCCATTTTACAGAAGAGCAAACCAAGGCAGTGGACGTGCCAGGAGGTAGATGGAAAAAAATGGCCCCGATCAGCGTGGAGCCCTCCTGGTCCCTCCCAGGAGCCATCACCAGACCCCATGCCTGCTCCTCCTCCCCCAGGCACCCCTCCTAGGCCGGCCTTTCCTGTGAGGTCTCCCTGCTCTGGCTGCTTCCATCTGCTGCTGATTATATCTGTGGCTGCTCCCCAGATTGGTGCCAGGTTTTTGCGGTTTTATTTTATTTTTTTTTTTAATAATTTTTATGGTTTTCTTTACAAACAAATGTGTGTCCGTTGTTTACAAAATTAGGAACAGAGCTGGCGTGGAGCTTACAGGAGACCGCTCTCTGGGGACATATTCATAATAGCAGTGGGACCAACTCAGTCCTGGTTTGCCTGGTCTCTCCCCGTCTAAAATGGAAAGTCCTGCATCCTGGGAAACCTCTCAGCCCAGGGCAAACTGCAGAGTAGCTGTAAAGGGAGTAATTTCTAGGGCGCCTGGGTGGCTCAGTGGCTTAAGCCTCTGCCTTTGGCTCAGGTCATGATCCCAGGGTCCTGGGATCGAGCCCCACATTGGGCTCTCTGCTTGGCAGGGAGCCTGCTTCCTCCTCTCTCTCTGCCTGCCTCTCTGCCTACTTGTGATCTCTGTCTGTCAAATAAATAAATAAAATCTTTAAAAAATAAAATAAAGGGAGTCATTTCTAATCATTCATGGTGCAGGGGTCTCCAATGATCAGGTTTTGGGCTTTGCAGATAAATATGTTTATAGCATTGGAGGGTAGGGCCTACATGCAGAAAAAAAGCAAAAATAAGATAAAATGCCCTCGGAGTCCTAAGGAAGCCACTCTTAATGCCTGAGGAGTATCCTTTGTTTTCAAGCTCTCTGGACAAGGCCACCCTCTAGGCATCTTTGACTCCCAGAGATTGCGGAGGCCCAAGGAGGGGGACCCAACTAGGGTTGCCTAGATCGGCAGCCTCCTCCAGGGGCTCCTGCCTAGCTCTCAGGAGGAAGGAGGGGGCTTCTCAGACCCTAGGAGGGCACTGTTCTTGTGGCGCCAGGTGAGCAGGACAGGGCCCAGGAGGCTCCGGGCTTCTCTGGTTCTCACTGAGGGGAACCACTCCATGAAGCCGGAGAGCCGTGTGACTACAAGACTGGGGGCTTGTGGTAGTCACTGCAGCGGAGGGAGGCCCCGTAGCTGACTGTGGCATACGCTTCCCCCTGGCCACTAATCCTCTAGCAGTAGGGTGTCCTGCCATGGTCCCCCTGAGGAAAGCCACAGTTCTGTCAGGAGGATCCCAAGAGTTTTGTGGGGCCATAGGAGTGGAGGGGGCTGCCCATGAGAGCCCCGTGTTTCCCACGTTTGCAGCGAATTTATATCCTGTTCCACCTGGGCTGTCATGTTCCCTGAGGCCAGCCAGTACGGTCATAGCTCAAGGCGACGCCATCATGACCAGGAGTGAACACTGGTTCTCTCTTTGTGCCTGGAACAGAGCTTGGCTCTTTATATGCTTTATCTCA